CAAAGAAGAGCTCTCAAACTACTCGTTTTTTTCTTTCAAAATACTCATTTTTCACGAGGGATCTGGCCTCTGGACTCCCTGGTGACCAACTGTGCTCCTAAGGTCGAACTAATACTACACGATATGACTTGCAAAGGTGTTCTTTCACATTTACGAACGAGCACTAACTCCAGTATGTTTTGATATTAGCACTGTAGGAACCTTGCGAGAACTGTTCACTCCCAGAAAAACTTCCCATGTTATGTTCCATGTTCACTGCATTATTCCACTCTCCTACACTGTTCTTTCCCCATGTGTTCACCACACTGTTCTGACTCTCTCCCTTGTTGCCTTTGACCGCGTTTGGTGCTTGGGGCAAGCTCGTCATGCTAGATTGATGTGCCGCTATTACATTTGTCCGGTTCATATTGCAGTTCTGGTTTCCTACGGAAAAATGTGAAATGTACGGTTTGTAAAAATATACAGTTTGCATTTAACAAACATCAAGGTTAAAATTGCTTTAAGATAAACTAGGCCTGAAATACCTTTTCTAGTAGGGGAAGATTTGAAATTTAGGCACAAGCCAATCCCAAAAGTGATAATGTCCATGTTTATGGTTTTTCAGACATTGTATCGCCTATATCTCGAAAGCGTTAGCTTTACAGAGATGTCACAGAAAAACCTTCAGAATGACTATTCAGAAGGATCCGAGAATCTAATAAAGTTTGGTGACCCAGCGGGGAAGCAATTCTTTCTGTAAGTTGGTTAAAAAAGTTTTGAACCAAATTTGCACCAGGCCACCGTCCGGTAACCTCATAATTCATGCTAAGGGGCGTTCCAAAAAATGTGATCATGAAAAAAATTCAATTGAAGAATTTCTTGCATAGATCTCGTCTAATGTCTTAGAATTTGTCCAAACATGATCACTGGATGTCGCGAAAGTCTTTAATTCAATAAGTAATTTTAGCTGTCAGATAGATTTTGTTCTAAAGCTAGATATCGCATTATGCATTTGTATCTGAATTATTCTTAATGCTGGAGGAGTGCCATTACTGTAAGCTATAGTTTTCATCTTTGTACCTAAAGGGGCATATCTCCTAACAACTGTCATCGGCGGTGGCGATGTTAGCGAAAAACAAAGCCTTTCACAATATTATTTCTAGTTTGCTGGATTACTTCTAGTGGTCGGCCAGACCCCTGAATGGCAAAGTATTTTCTCAGATTTCAGTATTTCATCACGTACGTGTTTTTCTTAGGGCTTTACTAGCTTTCCTCGGAAAAACATTATTTTTGAAGATGCTAAGTGCCTAAGTTGGAGTTCAAGCCTTCCCACACATGAACTTGATGCGAACTTTCGATTTTCTGAAACTGTAGTACTGTACAGTCGGGAGCAATGATAATTGCACAATATTCTCCTCCTTTTATGAGACATCTCAAGCTGTGGCAACACCGCATTGTACTAATTGAAGAGTATAATAAAATAATAAAGCAATTTTAAGGTGTTGTTGTTGTTTTTTCTTATTGAAGTAACGTTTTATCGTTTTTTCTCGTACCATATCTGTCACTGCATCTATTTGTCTGGAGTCCCATGCACCACGAAATGTTCATCATAATGTTAACGGATTTAGCAGACTACTACAACTTGGTACATCTTAATATAGTGTTATTTCGTCTACACACTGGATCAATATATTTACATTGGCACCTTTATATTGTTAAAAGTATTTCGCAAACAACAGTTTTTAGGATTGAAATGAGAACATAGATGCATACGTAAAAAATGACTCTGCACTTGCTACGTAACGCCATCATCAGTTCATAAAGGTTTAAGTTTAGCCTAAATTAAGCCCCCTGAAAACAGAATCAGTTACGAACAATACAATTAACGCATAGACATTCTTCAATTAAGCAGAGCGTTGCGCAGAGCGCTGAGCCTAGATAACAGAACAAGATGCGTATCGAAAACATTTCTCTATACTATTCAAAGTTTTAAAGACTGATGTACCACGTGTGAAATATGACGAACAGATGTGTAGCGTTACTGGGGTTAAGAGAGTTTAAATATATTAACATGAAAAAATTGAGATATACCCTCCCCCATCAACTTACAACTCTTCAGCCCCTAATTTTGTATCGCTAAAATTTTTTCCAAACGTGATCAGAATCCCCTGAAATCGTCAAAAAACAACATTTATGCGTTTTTTTTTATTTTGTCCTTTTTCTCCGCGCTCATTGGACTGTTTTTAAGTTCCTGGCGTAGTAACAACCTTGTGTAAGAATTTCAGATAAGCAGTAATTTCAAGATTACAAAGGGGCCAAGTTTTTCTTGATGTACATTTCGTATAACATCTCAAAAATGTATCTAACTCTCGAAATTTTTCTCGATTATTATAATTCCTCGTCCAGTGGTGCAGGACGTACAAAATTTGGCGCCATCTATACCACAAGCTAATGACTTCCGATAGTGACTCATTGATGACTGTATGACTACTTTGTTGGTTTAGACAGTACCACAGACTTTGCACCACAGTTTTACTTATAAGCTGCCAGCTTGCATCGTTTAACATATTATGTTGGACAATTTGGAGTACATGTGATCCTTAACCAAGGAAACGAGAAAATTACCAGAAACTCCCGGATTGGAACCATGACCTTGCATCAGAGCGTAGTTCTCCGGCTCCCTCATTCTATTCAAATTATTCGCTTGAGCCTGAGATATCTGCGCCTGCGCCTGAGATATCTGCGCTTGAGCCAGCGCATAGTTGTCCAGTATAGCCGAATAATCTGCACGGGAGTAATCCTGGTTGTATCCAGACTGCTGGAACATGTTGTAGTTATGGAACTGAGCACTTCTCCAATCGTACTGAGCTTCAGCTGGATACTGACATGCCATGCTTCCTACTGGAAGTACCGGGAAGCCAAGTGGGTTGGATGGATTGGACCCACCTGCGTTTTTTCTCAGACGTGCTCGCCGATTCGAAAACCACACCTGAAATGTAAATTGCGTGACTAGCAGATACCAAACATGTAGGATAAAAAGTTCTGTCATTAGGTATTAAAATTTGACTTTTTGAAACTTGCTCCCACAGCTTCGCAAAAATGCTGAACTTCTTACAAAAAATTAGGCGCCAGGCTCAAGATCCGTAAGACAAACTATACTATGCTTATGCATTTAAAGACGCTGAATCCGAATCCGGGATCAGATGCCTAGAAAATTGAGTTTCGGATACCACATGCTGGAGTATGGTATGTATTCCCATGTATTCAACGCTAAATCAGAATCTGTGGTCGAAATAATGCCCGCAGCCCTTGAAATCACTCCAGAGTTCAAGAACTAACCCTAAAAGGTATGAAAATTGAGTTTCGGTTGCCAAATGCTGGAGCACGGTATTCCCAAGCATTTTTTAATGCTGAGTCTGAATTTGAGGGCACAGAGAAGGGATGGAAAATTTATTTTCGGATGACGGATGCTCGTTCTATACATACATACGCTGGTACACCTACATACTTTATGTTAAGCTGTAACTTTTAAAAACTTTTGACTTCGTGACACTTATCTATAGCCCAAGCCTAGTCTTATCAGGAGCATCAGGCTCCAAGGTTAAGTGGGAAATAATGCATAGGACTGCCGAAATACGCGTCCAACAATACAACGATTTAGTATCTGTCACTCGAAAATCCATTTCCACTCGTCATTACGGGTAGCTTTAACGCCGGGGTTGAATTCAAGGACGGTGGATCTTTTTGACCTAAAATTCCGATTCAGCATTGAAGGACACATAGGAAAACCGCGGTTGAGTGTCCAGCTTCGGAAGGTCGATTTTCACCCATCTTTGTTGTAGTTTTTGGTATCGAGATAATTCCAGGTGCAAAAATGGTATTGGTCCCAAATTTTTGCTCAGCATAGAGAAATACATGCGAATACCATGCGCTAGCATCATTGTGACCTCAAATTCGGATTGATTATCGAGAAATAAGACTCAATACCACACCTCTTCTAGTGGTAGTTTTTGGCCCGGGGGTGACGTCGGTGGTGGTGGTAGGATCTTTAAGACCACACATTCGGATTTGGCGTGCAAAAATTTATGGGAATACCGGCATCTGCAATCCCAAAACTCAAATTTAGCTCCTCCTAGGGGTAATTTTTGGAGCTCGGGAGTGATTTCTAGAAACTATTATGATCCGAAATTTGCTTTTAGCTTTGAAAAAAAAATAGAAATGTCGGGGTCGGTCTCACAAATCCCGATCTTTTTTTTGTGGTAATTATCCACAGTACAGTGTCCTGTTGTTAAGTTTAACGAACCGTAGTTCCATTACGCAGATCCATGACATGTTATGACGTTGCTTTCAATATCGATTATTCGATTTTTTGATATTTGTCGTATTTTACCTGTTCATAATTCCTTGAGATACGCTAAATGCTTGAAATTTCTGAATTCCAGATTCATCAATTGCCACAATGAGATGCAAACAAAGAAGTATTATCAACACGCCCACCCCGCCCTTTGCTATGCTTTGGTATGGTACATGCGTGTAAGAACATTGCGCGTAGAGACATGCTAGTACTAATATTCTACACGTTAAGGGCTACAACACCATGTTGTTAAAAAAATAGCCAAAAGTCCTGATAAGGACTCAGTTTTTTAGCAACGTACCTATATACAAACATAGCACATGCAACTACATTTTTCCGATGAATTTCTCTCTATTTTCGCTAGTCTATTTGAGAGGTTACATTCCACTTGTGGCTAGTGTTAGTAGATGTATTTTAATGCTATGGTTAAAAATGCTTCCCACGTTCCTTTCAAATTCTGCAGAGGAAACAATGCGTTTGAACCTTGTAGTATATGACTGTTCTAATTGCATATATAAGACTGGCCAGGGTACTTTTTGCATACTTCGTATACCTTATTGAAAAGGGTTTTATCTATTATACGACTAGTATTACACTCATCCAGCTGAAACTGATAGTGAGCAACCCTCTAATCTATTATTATTTGTATTTTTTCCTGCTCCAGCCATCAGTTGCCATTTTCAACGTTTAAATGCACATTGGTCAAAATCTGTTGTCGGTAGTGTTGGTATCTTATGCCGTGATGTGTTATATCAAACCTGTATTCTGGCTTCGGTGAGCCCAGTTTGCTGAGCCAACTCTTCTCTCGTGTATACATCAGGGTACTGCGTCCGACTAAATGCTCTCTCTAAGGCTTCCAGCTGCTCTCCTGAGAATGTGGTCCTCGAGCGACGTTGCTTCCTCTTCAAAGGAATACCTGGCTCTGATTCGATGTCACTTTCGTCTTCTCGACCTGGAAAGAAAATAATTGCACTATACTTGTGCTTTGAAATAACACAAAGCTTTTGCTACAAAGGATGTCAGAGGAGGCGAGAACCTCAACTTAGTGGGGGAAATTTTCCAGCTCGTTTTTTAGAATTACTTTTGTTGCATGCCCTTTAATATAAATCAAGAGGCTGCTGGGCCGTAACACGATGCAAATTCGGTTGTGTATGGACTAGTCCATCCTACGTTGTAGTAGTAACAGTCACCAAAGCAATTTTTGCCAGTGCCGGATGCTCCGCTGTTCGATTTTCGTCCGTAGGCGCGCATGACGTCACGCAGAGAGTGACTCTCATAATGATTGATGCGATAACCAGCAGGCCAAACGGCTGGACGGATTTTCACATATGAGGTGTCGTTGGATTCGTCTTAGCGGTGCGAGTGACAATAGCTACATTAAAATTCCATACAGAACAAAATGGCGGATTTAAATAACAGATTTCAACCTTGTAATTCATATTTCATAGGCTACAGCTCAAACGGCTTGACAGATTTTCACATATGAGGTGTCGTTGGATTCGTATTAGCGGTGCGAGTGACAGAATCTACATTAAAATTTTATATAAAACAAAACGGCGGATTTAAATAAAACATTTCAACCTTGTAATTCTTACCTCACAGGCTATAGCTTAAAGGGCTTTTTAGCTTCACAATAGACCATGTATCGTCACTTTACTGTAAAAACAAGATTTTTCTACATTACTTATATTTTAGTATGTTCTGTGGAGCAGGATTAACATGCTCATGACGTTAATACTGCACTACATTTATTCATCCTTATTTCTCAGAGCATCCTAAGAACATGCAAGTGTGAAAATGTCCGCAACTCGAAAAGTAAAAAAATGGAGTTATCATCTTTTTGCAGTAAGCTGGCGGTATAACAATAAATGGAAATGACTTAGTCTAAGCCACAATTTTTCTCCATTTTCTTTTACGATTTTTCTGGTCCTTCAAGCTTTTGTTCAGTTCTTTGACCCGGAAAAAAATCCTTGACCTGAAAAATAGTTTCTCAGCTTTTTCTGGGCAGTCAATGTTGCTGCTCTCAACAGAAGTTTTCTATAATCGTATCAAACTTAATTCTTTTGCCCTTTCGTTTTCATAAAAATTTTTGGAGGTGTTGAAAATTAGGGGTTGTGGGCTATTGTGGGGTATATTTAAATTTTTTGTGCAGTAGTATGTTTATGAGCTTTCAGCTCCCCGGTCATTTTACGCACCTAATGGATATATTTCACACATCATAGATTTTCCCGTACATTTGCACCTATTAAGGCGGCTCCGACGCAGTGAGTTTCAGGCCATTTACAAGGGTTTACCTGCTTCGGAATTGACGCTCCATTTTTCTATATATTTGAATAAAATTTATACAGTATTTTCAGAAGACAATTGTCCAGGGTGCTATAGAGCCACTTTTCTAAAAAAAAATTTTTTTCAGGAGTTATGGTGGGTGGAAGTGCAGATAATTGTTGTTCGACTTCTCGATTTTTTTAAAAATAACCCAGAGGAAAAAACGAAAAAGTGGCTCTATAGCACCCTGTGGAGTCTTGTTTTTAGTGCACTGTGAAAATTTCATTGAAAAATATTCAAAAATGAAGCGTCAATTTTGAAGCGCGAAAACCTCTGCAAATAGGCTTTTACACGAATTTTATCCACTATCTCGTGCTGCCAGTCGAAGCAACGCGGCGGTGTGTACGGACTAAGAAAGGACGTATTCAGATAATTTGTTGTCCCAAGTTAAACAGTAGCAGTTTTAACGTCGGTCGTTCGAGATAAACATCGGACCAGTAAGTGATATTTTTAATAGACTTCAATGAAAGAGGGGAAATTTTTAATCATTTCTTTTATACAATAGGCCATGCTTCAGAGGTGATACCACAAAAAATCATTTTTGTTCAATCACCCCAATATAGATATCAAATGGAAGCACTTGTACAAAACAGTAATACGAAAACAGTTTCAAATCAAGATGGCGGCCGTTACAAAATGGCGGATAACATACTTGCTAATATCTCAAATAAGAGTCGTCGCCTTGTAGAATACAGTACTTCACTAAAAATTTGATTCCAAGATTGCCGGCGTTCCGAAATTGCGAGTTACATATTTTTGTACAACACCCCCAATTTACATATCAAATGAAAAGACTTGACATGTGTGGTAAAATACAGAACTTTGTGACCAAAAGTTTCCAGGTGGTTCCAGGGTCATTGGAGGCAATAATCTTTTTAGTTAAAAATAATAATTATAGTGAACGCATTTAACACAAATAAAATGTCACTTGCTGTTTAGCTTTAACCTTATGGAGTATCGTAAAATAAACTTAACACGATAAGCGTCATGAGATATAATGCGTGTGTCGCACCTCATTTGGCGCTTTGGGCCTCGTGACACACATGATATGTCTCACTGCTGGCAGTTATATTTGGCCGCGTAACGTAAGACGTGTGCCATGCTGATGTGATTTTCTTACGGGAACCAAGAGTCCGTGGCCTGAGGGACCAAATTATACTGAATTGGAAATGAAAACATTAAAAAGCACGTTGTTTGAGTTTTACAAAAAGAGGATATTCTACAAATCTAAAACAAAAAGCAAATCTTATAAAATAATCAGACATTCTCATTCAAAAATGAACAAAGTAATTTCACAGCAAATCAGTAAGTTATGGTAAATGTCGATATTCTAACTAACACAAATATGGAGGAACTCTTATAAACTAAAGAGATTGACAAAGTCTTATGCAGGAATAAACAAAATACCGGTATAAATAAACAGTAACACAGATAAATATGGAATTACTACAACTACTATCTGATTCACTACCACTTGGAGAATACGCATCAGATAAGTATACATCCCCACATAACTCAGTACTGCCACTCTCTTCACCCGATAGTATTTCATTACACAATTGTTCAAGCCTTTTTTGCTCCGCTTCGTAATGCGACATCACAAATTTGGTATTCAATAATTTATAAACAGTAAAGCAATTTGGACAAGATGACGTACAATACTAACAACGCTTCAATAATAAATGACACGAAACAGTGCTCAACGCGCGACATGATGCAAGTCTTGACTTGCAAAAAACGCGACGCGACTTATGTGCCACGCGACCCGACTGGTCTGTGGGCCACGCGACATACAACTAGTACCTCAGAAAAAAAAATCAAAAAAGGGGAAAAATCATAGGATTTGAGAAAAAAGTCAAGTCAAAATATTAAACCGAAACTTAAAACAAGCTAATTTGACAATAATAACAGTTTGGCCCAGTGGACTGGATTTTCAGATTCTTACGCTTAACGTGTCAATGTGACATTTCAATATTCGCCATCTAACAGACTAGATAAAGCTAGCCGATGCTACATGCTATTGAGCCTGACGATTGACTTTTATTTAAATGAACAATATATACGTAATATACAATAAATAGTGAACATCTAGTACTAGTACCAAAATGGAAGAGATTAGCATAACATCTCGCACATCGCTGCTAAAGCGAGATCTGCACACCGCATTTGCCGACACGAAGGGGTTAGTAACGGCGTACAATGTAATATGCTAATCTCTTCCATTTTGGTACCCTAGTACAGCAAAAATAGCCAATTCTCAAGAACTCTTTTTCTTGTTCAAACGGTTCTCTTGTGCCTTCAAGATCACATCGGGATCGCGGATTGGCATATTTCTGCTTTTCCTGGGATCGACCAGTTCTGGGAGCAAGCAGTTCATGTAAAAGAATTTCAATTTCTCTTCCATTTCATTTTTCCAGAAAACATCATCCTTTTGAATGACGTCTATTTTCAAACCATACGGGGTCCAAACACCAAGCACACAGTACTCTCTTTGTGCAACGTGTAGCTGCCCTTGAATTTGGTAATACCACTTAAGTTTTTTATTTATTTCATCGTTTATCCAAAACGTAATTTTTTTGTTCAGAATGCCCTCTTCAGGGGTCATTTCTCTAGCCGACCATGAACATTTAATTTCTAGCAGACCTTTTTCGCCTATCAAACCATCTGGCGATGCTGCCAGAAATGGATGGGTCCTATCAATAAACAACCCGCAAGATTGTACTTCTGATTGCGAATATGATTTCTCTATTTCTGCTTTTGCCACGCTTTCATGCTTTTTTCCATAGTCACATGCATTGCTAAAGAATTCGGTTGGGTATATTATGGCGTTTACTAGAGCTCTGCAATTTGTTGTATCTCTTCTTCTACAAACCTCACCAAACCGAGATGCAGTCAACCTCCTAATGGAGAAGCGTCTTCGACATGCGTCTCTCTGGGTTCACGGACGTCGCAGACTCCTCTATGAATGTCGTTCCGCAACTGCAGCGCTGCCGAGTTTGACGAGTAGATTCATCAAACAGCGAGGTATGGGAGAGGGACGACGTTGCCAGATCGACGCTGTCATCAACAGGGAAGGGAAAAGATGTACATTGACGAATAGTATGAGCCTGTTTGTCCATTTAATTTCTCTGCAATAGCTATTCATAGCTAACTTCTTTGTCAGAAGAGCTAACCTGTGACGAACCTAATCCTTTATGAACTGATGACAGTGTTATTTGGGAAGTTGAGAGTCATTTTACTTGACGACATATTTGTAATATATCTGACTATTTTGATGCACAATTGTAACAAAATGGAAGAGTGAATTGCAGTCACAATTGGATTTTTCTTCATAACCAACTGAGCGAGATACATCCAATGCTTGGCAAAGCGCCGCCTGTGCATACACCTATCATCTTAAGGCATCACAGTTCACGTTTATCAAAGGATCCCGTTTTTAGCAGTTTTGGCAGTAAAAACGGAAATGAGTCACAAGATAAATATTGCTGGTCA